AAAAATAATATTTTTACCTTCATATACTAACTTTTATTATCTTATTATTAAGATAATATACAGCACTTATAAGCTTAGCTCTTTTATTATATACTCCTCCAAATTGAAGGATTTCCTTTGGTATCCATTATTATAATCGGGTTACCTCTTGTCGTAGATACACGAATACTTTCGGATGTTTTCGATAAATCTTTCCGGGTCTATTCTAGCGTAGCCACGAGGGAACGTACACGAAAGCTCGTTTTCCGCCATTTTAGCTTTGTGTCGCGATGACCTTGATTTCACTGACTTCTGATTGGTGGAAGGTACCCCTTTATGGCCGTATTCGCGTCGAAAGTTGAACATAGCTCAACTCGCTTTTACGTTGGTTTTACGGCCTGCTCAAGCGTAAGATATCGGGGTCACGTGATTAAAAGCTTTTACGGTGAGGGGTTTTTACGCCGTTTTTACGGTAGTGGAGTCCTAGCCTTACAAATCATGTGCAGCAGTTCAGTTCAGTTTTACAAGTGTAAACAAACACATCACTCAATTTTTAATCATCATTTCTCAAGTTTTAAACAATTTAAAATGACAATTGAGTCTAAACTCCAGCATATGTTTATAAACATTACTGGCTGGAAAAACTGAACAAGCAGAAAAACTGAACTGAATGTAGTAGTTCTAAAGCAAAATTTAAAAGGTATTGAGTTTTTAAAATTTACATAAAATGTTACACTTCAAAAATAAATAAATAAATAAATCTCATGTCATCCTAAATATTTCCATCAAAAGTGCATATATTTAGGGTCAAAATTCACTGAAAAATTAATTTTTAAACTTGTGTTTTACTTTGGATTATTTTGTATATGTAATCATTTAAACTAATAGACAAGTGGCATATCAATTGTTCACCTGAAATGTATAAAAATAAATAGAAGATACCTCAAATGGAGAGAATACTTTCACAGTTTTTGCACCAGCATTAATTAATTTCAGGAGTCCACCATTCCAATGAAGTGATTCAGCAGCATGAAAATCTAAAAAAACAACAGCTTTGTCCACTTTGGTACAAATCTCATCCCACCAGTTACAAAAAGTTTCTTTAATTGCTTGATATGCCATTTTAGTTCAATCACATCTGAAAAACAAAGAAATAATAATTAATTATTCAGCATATTAGAAAATATTATATTAAGAATAAATAAAAAATTCTGCACATACACAATTAACAGATCAAACTTTTACATAATTTAAAACCACCAAATTTTTTAGTTATCTATCTAAATCTAACATTATCACTACTAATATTCTTCAATCAAGTGTTGTACAGTATATACTTTTTCTTTGGTTGTCGAAGAAATCAAAAGAAAAAATATACACATTTTTTAAGATTTTTTTAAGCTGAGGAATCACATTTATGAAAAGTGTTTATACAACCACATAAGAACTGGTGATCCCAACTTGGGATTTCAATTCAATATTTAGGGAAATCACTGTTCAGCATTACATTGTTAGTATAACAAAGTGCAAAACTGATGCAATAAAATAATCTTTGTGGTGATTTTAATCTTACCAATATCTCTTGGCATTCATTGTTTCCTTCATATTCCTGTTTAGATGGAGCAGAAACCTACTTCCTAAATAATATATTTTACTTTTTTGGTTGTAAACAATTTGTAAATTTCTCCACTTATAATTTTTCCTTTTTGGATTTGGTTTTTCTTTCCATTCTTTAAACTACTACTAATCCAACTCCAGGTTTTCCTTTAGACCATCAAACTATTCAAATAATAGTTCATAAAGATTATGATTCTTATATAAATCAAAGTACAGTAATTTTATTAATTTTCTTATCTGGTCTGCCATCAAGTGGCATCAGCTTTTTGCTTATCTTAGCTCCTGTAACTGGTCTTTTATTTTTCGTTTTACAATATTAAACAGAAATTACAGAAATTATATATCATGTTTACTGCTTTTTCAGAAATATCTACCATATAAACATATTTATACAATCAGTCAAAAATGGCACAGTAAATTCTTGAAAAAATTACATAATCATACTAGGACTTTGTGGTGGCAATCCAAGATCATTGTATTTATATCATGTAGCTATTAAGAGTTATCAGAGTGAATGTAAATATCTGAATTATTTTCAAAGAATTGTTTCTGATTTTGCCTGTGACCCTAAAACATTTTGGCATACTGTCCCTAGATTCTTAAATCAAAGATAAAACACCGCAATGTTATAGATGATCACGTTTACAGTTCTTATAGTAATATTAAGTTATGTTACTTTAATTTACTTCAAGAAACTCGGTATAAAACATTTGAAGTGAAGAATATTGGTGCATGCCACTTGGGATATACTACTTCTAACCATTTAATTACCTTTTCCACTCTTATAAAGGCCATAAATTCTCATTACTTCCACTTATAGCCCTGACCAAATTTCATCTATTTTTTTATAAAAGACTTGCTCCGTTGATGGCTTCTATACAGTAGTGAACAAAACTTTAAAGACAAGCAAAAATTCCACCTAAACGAATAATTTAATTAAAATTATTGGTTCAACCATGTTCATATGTTTTAAAAAAGTAAATTGATAGGTTTATACAATAATGAAAGAATAGTGTTGGAATAATTCTTCCAAAAAGTAGAAAACCAGGTAATTTATGTTGACAAAACTTTAAATACAATTGAAAAAATAACTGCAAATAATAGATTAATATCTTGTGGACCCTCTGCTTTTTGAATAATCTCAAAAATGCAGTCTGGCATATTCATCATAAATGTTTTGGTATAGCTGCCATGCTTTCTCTACTGCAACTTTTAAGTCTTTTACTGAACTGTATTGTTTGCAATCAGCATATATAGTTATTGAGAGCACACCCCAGATATTTCTCAATTGGGTTTAAATTTGGAGACTGAGGTGGACAATCCAACAGTTGGACTTATTTTTGCTGAAGCCAATTTTTTGTGGTGAAAGATGAACAGATAGATGCATTGTCTTGAATAAAATAAAACTTTCTGCCTGCTAATTTTCATACATTTGATAGTAAAGTAATTTCAATCAGCTTATGATACTTTCTTTTGTCCATTTAGGAATTCAATAGGTGACTTTCTCTTGCAAAATTGGCATATCACACAATAATGGAACCACCACCCATCTGTCATCAAGATAAAATCCTTGCTTCTTTGTGCAAATCATGAAAATAATAGTTCAGACCATCTGGACCATCCAGATTGAACTTTTTTCATCTTAAAAAATAACCTATTGTTATTCTGTATCCCAGGAAATGTGATCTCATACATAAATCAATCCAGCAGTTTTATACATGTATTAAGTCACTTTAAATCCAAAAACTTTTTGGTTGACAGTCTCACAGCACTTACGGTTAGAAAATTAAGACTTTATTGCACAAATTGAACGAGTGCTATACAATGTATTTTGGGTTGTTGTAAATTTACAACCCCTCCTCAGTGATGCTTCATAAAGAAATAACAAAGTTTTCCACTTTCACATCCTTGTTTTCCATAAATATACATAAAATGTTCTTTTATTCTAAATTTATCCAGTATTATGTATTCTGTTATTTCTTTTTCACAATAAAGGTAACTTTACATCAGTTCTTCTAGTTAAAGTAAATTAATATTCTGCATATATACATACATATATACATATCACACAATAATTTTTCACAAAGTACAATATTCGAGTTTTCACAAATGCCATTTGTGAAAACTTTGTACTTGATGTAGTTGATACCGTTCAGGACCTCGGTGTTGTTTTTGATTCAAAACTTTCTTTTATAAGTCATATCAAACTATTAACTAAAAAAACCCTCATATTGTACAGAAATTTCAGAGTAATTTCAAGTAAAAATATACTTCAGGGTTTATTTTTTACTAATATACAAACCTCAACAGATTACATCTTACCCATATGGACAACAGCCCCTGCCTCTACTTGGCATAAATTTCATTTAGAGTTAGCTAAAATTTATCTCCTTTTAAATAAAGTTGCAAACTTTCCCTCTACCGATTCTCCTAAGGTTGCTTATGTGCACTTGTGTTTACTTGGTTTTTTAAACATATTGATTATTTTAACAGAATATATTCTTATAAATATTTCAATAATCTCCTTCCTTCTAAATTTTTTCTCCTATGAGTCTCTTCTTTTAACTCTAGAGATTCTACATGTTTGTATTCATAATTTGCCTGCCTTAATGTTACACTCAAATCATTTTTCTTCCAGTACTAAAAGACTACTGTAACCATCAAAGATCTACTCTTTCTTGATTTCTTAAAATTTAAATCCATTTGTAAAAACTTCTTTACAATTGTTCTCTGCACTAACTCCCTTGTATCCTGATGTAAAAGGGAAGGAAAAGAGAAGCACTAATTCTCATTTTTTCCCTGCACTTTTAGTTTATTTTTATCTTTATGCGTTTGTTGCTTGTTTGCTATTAGGAGGTCAGCTATCATTGTCTTCGTGGCATCGCTGTATTTACTGGAAAATAAATAAAATCTTATATCATATTTAACAATTTATTTTACCATTTCTATATACCTTGCACTAGAGTTTGTTTGTTTTAAGTTACAGCAACACAACACTTGAGTGATCTGCCTAGGGGGATACTTTCCGGGAGGTCTTTTTAAGGGTAACTGGTCCCTATTCATGCATTACAGACGTGGAGAAAACCTGTAAAACTCTATGTGGCTAGCCCATCCTGGCAAGGCGCATCTACAACCGAACTCCCAGTGTTCAGGGAATGGAACTGCTTGGCCACTGGTGAGCCCCTTGCTCTTGAGAATTCTATCAGTTGTCAAAACCACTATATTTCAATTAAAATTTTGGCTATCAGCTCTTTTCAAAATCACAGGTTGAGACCGAGAGCTCTGTTATATATAGCCTTGTGGGCGACTATATAGCCTTAATAAATCAATCAATCTCACAACCGCAAAGATTACCGTATGTTTTGGCTCTGGTAACCCGTGTCTATAGCCCACTATTACTGTACAGTCAGCTGGTAGTATCAATAACTCTAATTTCAAGAATAGTGTCAATATTATGAATATACAAGAACTAGTTACAGAAACTAATTAAATCCAAAATTTAGATAATAACCCAAATAAAATACGGCAAATGAAAAATTGGGTAAGTTATACACGAAATTAGCATTTTTTAAATCACAATTAATAATATAGTGTGTCAAAATTCATTCAAAATAATCAGAAAATCTGAAATTAAACTCACTAAAGGCATTTTAAATTTAGTTCCTCGAGTTCATAATACTGTATTTACATTGACATATGTTTACAATAACTCTCTATTTTCTCACCAGATGGCAAGACCAAGAACTTTTTTTTACTACTGCCAAATAAAATTATCTCGAACGCAACTTAAATGACAACAAAAATATCACATATTTTCATATCTTAAATTATTTATTTCTTTAACAGGAAAAAAACTTTAAAAAAATTAACACTGCTTTTTAGAAATAACGATGAACAAGTCGGAGCGGAATCCTAGGCCGTGTTCCGTACAGTACCCCATAATTCTTAGTCAGGCTTTGCCACGATGTTCAATGATATTCGTAGTAAGTTTGATTCATCTCACTATAAGAATTCTTACTCGTTTACTCAGACTACTTTTAGTATATTTATTTTGCTTAGTGACGTCATTCCGCCTCTCCGATTTCGGTTTGAAAAATTTTACGTTTACGATTGTAATGGCTGCTTGTGCCGGATTAAATAAATTCAATTTTTGAATATACAGAAGTTACTGTTTTAATGAGTAAAGAGGCCACCATTTTTCTTAACAGTCTGACAAAGAGTAATCGTTCAATGATGCTCAGAACATTCTTAGCTTAGCCTACTAAGCCGCTCAGAATTCTGACTTATTTGTTATTAACCCGGACTTCAACGAAAAACATTCGCACGAGTTTGTCGTCTATATTTTGATTTTATTTATACTGTATATTGTAAACTACTACCTGAGAACTTCTCAGTTTGCATGTTCTTGGCGACGAAAGCGACGCTTTTCCGTGATCCTTTGGCCTTCCGGCCGTGAGCTACCGTTTTAATATCTAACTGGCGGCCCAATGAAGCAGTCGCCGCCTATTCCTCCCCGACTCAACAAGTCGTCACCCGTTCCTCCGATGGTTACAGTCGTCGCCAATTCTTCGACCGATATCGTTAACTCTGTTCCTCCGAAACGGATATACAATCGACTCTGACCCGGAACATTATCCAGAATTCCTCTAAAGCTTAGTTCACACTGGGCGCGATTCGCTGGCGAAAGCGAAAAACAGAGCGAATAACCGGTGAAACATGACTCGTTTGACGGGTTATTCGCTCTGTTTTTCGCTTTCGCCAGCGAATCGCGCTCAGTGTGAACTAAGCTTAACGCGCCAACCTCCTCGTTTATTCAACCTTCCTAAGGGACAGACCGAATCCTCTCCTGCATCAGGTCTACAAACGAATACTTCAAACCACAGGTACTTATCTCCACGCAAATCTCATGTGAACTCTCTCTCTTGTGACCACTTACGATATAAGTCAGTTAAATTGATATCTTACGCAGTTTGTATCATGTAGTTTTTTTTCTGTGAAATTAACGGTTATTAGTTGTTAACCTGGCATCCGAGTGATTCACTTCCGACGCCTTGTCTCTCCGACCTCCCATCTCAAATCTTTTCCATCCTAAATCCGATCGCCTGCGCACGTGACCGTTCGCATGACCTCACAACAACAATACTGACATTAAACAAAAACTATAGCAACCGTTTCGTGCATTATCACATTATTGTTCTACATCACAACACTTCCCTAGGCAAGCTACACATAGACGGTCTTTTTTAAAACTATTTCCGCCCTGTGAGCACTAAGAGGATACTAAGGGGACACTTTACCCTCTTAGTGTTCTCTTAGCCTCTTCTTATCAAATTCATTATGGATTCGGCCAGGCCCACAATGAGGCGGCCTGATGGTGAAAAACGGGAACAGACGGATCATCAATGTCGAACGGGTCAAAAAATCCCAGGAATATGTCTGTGAGACAAAGACAGGTCCGAACCCTCACTAAAATTCGCATTAAAATAATTATGTTTTAAAGAAAAAAAATGTAGTATTATCTTTGTTTTTTGTTAATACAGTACAGTCAACCCCCCTATAACGTACGTTCCTATAACGACAATTCCTATAACGTAGCGAAAAAATTGTAGAAACTTTCGTATAACGTACCTCCTATAACGTCGTTTCGCGAGAAGATTGATAGAGTCTGGACCAATAGTGGATGAGCAGCCGAACTACTTNTTTAAATAATGATTCACTATAATTTATTTTAAAATTTATTAGAAATTTATGTATAAATATTATTTTGCTTTACAGAATATGTGAATTACTAGAAGGCAAAGGAGCAGGTAAAAATGGAAGATTTCAAGCAAAGGTTAATAATCTCTGTAAAAGACCTCAAGCTGAAGAATTATTGAAAAATGCAATTGAGTGCAGTAATAATCATGAAAAATAATTATTAATTATTAAATAATTAATTATTTTTAAATGTTTTATTTATTATTTTAAGATTTATTTATAAAATTATTACTTAGGAATTACATTAAAAAATATTTTAAAGAAATTATATAACTATATTTTTGATTTGTTTCCTGTGTATATGTGTGCATATACATATATACACTCTTGCAAAAATCAATATTGCTTCTAGACAGATCTAAATAAAATTGAGGAATGAAACATATTTGGTGTGTAGCACTGTTTAGATAAAATAATAAATATTTCAGTCCTTGATGTTAAAAACTTGACACAGATAACAAACAGTAAAAACTATTTTGTTTGAACATTTTGAACTTTAAAAAAAAAATGTCTTCAGGAACATTTTAAAGATAAATTATTCCAATTATTATTATTATTATTATTAATAAAAACAGTCAGAAAGATTTTATTTTCTGTTAGTAAAAATAATGTCAATTTTATAGGAGTAGGAATCGCTTCGGGCCAGGGAAAAATCCCTAGTAATTTACCCCTTTCCATGGTCCTGCCTTTAGGAGGAATGAAAACGAAATAAACTTTTGTTATTTAAGCATTATTAGCAGAACATCATTTATATATTTATGACCATCATCATACTCATTCATAACCATCATCATACTCATTCATAACCATGACATCATCTTCTCATATTTTAATATTGAACTTCTTTTCTAGTGATTAATACAGCACAAGCAAAACACAATAAAAAACAAATTGACACAGACGCACAAAAACGAAAATACATAACTATGCCAGAGAATGCTAATTGGCCAGTTCGCTTTTTCTGTTACAAGTTAGTTTTACTCGAATGCTTGGCTCAAAAAGTTGTACACATAATTAATGAACGATCATGAAGCGAGTAATGTGAACAGCGCAGTGGTATTCATATCACTTCAGGTTCAGGCTACTTCTAAATGTAATTTCGGACACTTAGGGTAAGGCGTTAATTCAGCGGGCTTAGGGCACGTGTCCTCCCCTTTTCGTCTCGATTTTATAATCTCCAAGGAGGCTCCAAACAACAGAGAATTCACGACTACTAACCTATTCTGAAAACAAAAGAAACTGAGCGATATTTGTCCATTGACCCATGCATTCCGTTGTATGTTGAACAAAACTCCATTCTTTGTTTTCCAGGCCAAATTAAACCCTAGTACAACCAGCGTCTTTTTGTGGGATGGCTGATCAACGTTTAATCACAGAGTCTGAAGCTCCTTGCGTAATGTACTATGCCTCTTTTTTATAGCTTGTGCCCTTCTTTGTCATAGTCTGCGGGTGCCGCTGCCAGGAGATAACTGGAATGGGGGTAGTTTGAAGTGTTTACACCAAAAAACGAGAGGACGCTGTAATAGAAATCGTTTCCATTAAACGAAAACTGACCGACATACGAAAACACCCTCTCTATATAATAGATGTTTTATTAAGTTGTCTTCTAGATCTATGTCAAAAACAAACTATAAATTATCTTTGTGATTCCGAGAAATAAATAACGCAGAAGTGTCTAAAAAAATTGATTTTATCTTATTTTTCAACAAAACTTAAAAGTTTTTAAAAATGAAACGCTATTTTGTTAATTTTGTTTTTCAAAAAATAAATGCATTATCTCTTTTTCTTCTTTTTTTATATTTTATCTAAGTTTACGTTATTATTTATTTTATTTTATTTTTTTAAAAGATATTTTCAGCTCTCCCGACTCCAAAATTTTTCTGATATTTTTCGTTTCGCCATCATAATTTTAAATAATTCGCTATACTATAAGTGAAATAATAGTGGTAATAATAATTTTTATTTTACATTTCAGACGTAACCGAAAATATGAAATGACATTACGTTCGAGAAAGTTAAAACACGCATTTCGTATATTCGAATCAATAAATCTTGTTATATATTCGAATAGGCATATTTAAAGTTTAATTAAATCCATCAGTTTAAGATTTTTATACTCGTATAAACGAAAAGTTTTACAATATTATAACAATTAACTTCGTTTATCGCGTACACAAAACTATGGAATTTTACAACCAAAATATACTAAACGTCACGTGACCGCGGTTAACTGCGGAATTCTCGGAGGATAATGAAATTTTCTAATATAAATCTGTAAAAAATGCAACTAGTTTTTTCCCCTCTGTTTTATTTTAATTACGGATAATGTTATCGATCAATTGGCGAAACAAAGCATCGCCAGCCTCTCGTCCATTTTCGGTTGGTCGTTTTTGCTAACTCTAGACGAAAATTTCGACGAAATTAAAATGGCGGCTATCACTGAGCTCGGTGATAAATGTTTGCATGCGAAAATTTGATAAAAACAAGATGGATCGTAGTACAGAGGACGATAATTATTTTCCTTGTGCGTGATTTACGTTATTCGAGTGCCTCAAATGTCAAACTTAAGTACTGTATACTTGTAAAGACTGTGTATTATGTGTTACGTTTTAAAGACTTAAGTCGACTCAAAGATGTGGAAACATCGACGATGTATCCACCGAAAAGTGTATAAACTTAGTAGTTGACATATTCAATTTCAAAATATAAGACTACATCTTATAACAATATTGAGAGTATTTGTCCTAATTCCATGGACGACGATTGATCTATAAAGGTAAGATTTCCAATCTTTCTATTTAACCTTATAAGCCTTATTAATTCATTTGAACATTACGAATTGTTTAATTATTGTCGTTTTATGCGCTAAAATCGGTTAACCCATGATATTTTCCACAACTTTGACAATGATCATTCCAGCTGTTTTTTATTGATTTTTAACCTACGTCCATACAATTGTTTGTAGAGAATTTTAATTACAAAACTGTTGTTTTTAAACACAATAATCTGTACTGAATTTATTCAATTTGCAAAAGTTCATCTAACTTTTTTACATAAATAATTATACAGTAATATAATTACTTCACTTAAGAGAAAATTGAAAAAAAAAACAGAAAAACATATGCACATATTTTAATTTATAAAACATATATACAGAATACACCGTAGTAATTCCTATTAGTGGTACAGATTTTAATTTGGAAACTAGGAATGAATTTTAGGTGGAGGCTACTTGTATATACAATTTAGCATTGTAATTGTTTTTTTATACATTATCATTACTTATCCTTGTTTATTTTCTAAGTCGAGTGTGATATTAATAAATTAACATTATCGGTAGTAAAGATGCAAAATGGGTATCTTTTATAGTGTAAAACCTGATTAAAAACATTAACCAAACAATATATTTTATTAGAAGTGTTTATTTTATGTTTGTTTATGTAATTTAGTGGTTTGTTGTTATTTATGATCATTAATTGTTTTTGTTTATTGTTATTTGTTTCGTATTTTAAAGTGTGTGTGTAAAGTTTAAATGTATTTGATTGGATACTTATATAGATGGAGTTATAGAATTATATGTAATTTTAATTTTTCTAAAATTTTATTTTTATAATATATATTGTTGATCTAATTTAATATATTGTTTGTAGATTTGTAAGGATTTATATTCTTATTGTTAATTGTATATGTAGACTCAATAATTTATTAATAGTAAAGAATATGAAAGAATTTAAATCTATAAATATTAATTATATTTGAAAACTTAATTTGTTTAGTCTAAAAAATTGTTATAATCTTTGCATTTAAAAGTAACTGTTGTTGAATGATAAGTTCTAAAAACAAGAAAAAATAAATTCATAGCTCTTATAATTGACTGAAGTTTTGAGACGAAATTAACTTTTTTCTGACAAAAAGTATGTGAAGATTATCATTCAATTAATTTTTATACAGAAGTATAACAATTAAAATATATATATGAGCTATTTTGACTATATACTACACCAGGCCTGGCCAAACATGGGCTGCATGCGGTCCATCATGTTAAATTGTGTGGCTTGCTAAGTGATATTATGTATCTATTAAAACTTTTGTTTCTCGTTATGTGTATACCAAAATAATTAAATAAATGAAAATTTGCATGCCATTGTTATAATGTGCAAGTGCGAGTACAAACTCTTGGTATAACAATAAAATCTTATTCATTTTGTATTTGTTTTACTTTTTTTAAAAGCATGTTTGCCTAAATTGTGTCCCACCATTATGTTACATGTGATCAAAGTGGCCTGCGAAAAAATTTGGGTTGGCCAGGCCTGCATTACACTTTTGCTAATCTGACCATTTCTTGCACAGAAGGGTGCCAGATTAGCAGGAGCAAGGTTAATAGATAATAGGGTCATTCAAATAGGCCTATTATGTCACCAATTTTAAGTTGTTTTTGACTACCTATTCTTTCTCTTCACATTTAGTCACCAATTTTTAGACACCCCCATGTTGATGTCACACTTGATCTGTCTCGATATTAAAATCATGTATTTTTGTAAAACAGATTTAGAGTACATTCATTTATTCATATTTCCTGCCAAGGCAAGGCTAATTTTAAAAATAGGCCAACAAGGAAAATATTGAAATTTACTGATTTATCATAGAAGAAGAATCTAATGACATTGTATTAAGTAACTCCTAGACTAAAGTTAAAATGCTATATACAGATATATTTTTAAATGGTATCATTATTTGTAAGCTATATCTATAAAAGTTAAATTGTTGCCATTATTCTTCATATTAAAAGCTATACTAGAATGTTTTCAACAGAACATATTTAGTATAGCACTTTTACTAAAGTGCAAATATTTATGTAAGCAAAAACTTGCAGTATGATCATTGGTCAGAATACTTCTGCAAAATGATTTTGGTAAAAAAAAAATTTTGAGAATCTTTAGGCCATTACATAGTACTAATATCCACCCCACTCCCTTTCACAATCTTTCAGAAAATTTTTACATATTCTCTCCCCCGAGTAGATTTTATGTTTGAATGGCCTCCTAATATGGTTGAGGCACTGCCATTATAATTGACTTTCATTTTCTTCTCATAGACAACTGCTCCTGATAGGGTGTTCTCTAATTATTTAACAGGTAAGAGTTGTATTGACAGGCATGTGTTTTTGTACAAAAAATAACAAAAGAAGACCAGAAAAGGTCTTCTTTTGTTATTTCAATGTTATTTTCTGTGGTTTTAGTAATTTATAATTAGTTCTCATTTAGGTATCTTGATCAGATCTCAAATGTGTCTTGATTATCAAAATTTTATAATTAATGTAAAAACAAGCAAATTTTATTTTATTTATTTACTTTTTGTTTGATTGGTTACTATAAAGACATGACAGAAATCATCTGCTTTTAGAGAGCTCAGCTGACGAGTATATTGCATTCAGCTTTGGATCTTGTAGGTGGTAATGCTGATATCATTACCAACTCTATTATCAGATTTCCAACTAGCAGATAAGCAAGTGGGATATGAAAATGTCAGACACAGAACTGCTAAAACAACAAAAATTGTACATTTTTACATCACTTGCAAGCCAGGGTCATCAAGAGAGGAGGAGCTGGGGAATTTTTCCCATCCTGGAGAAAGTTTAGGGGTCTCTATAAATTATTATTTTTACTAAAAACATAAAATAAAATCTTTAAGATTGGTTTTTATTAATAAAAAACATTCAACATATTTCATTTGTTCAAAAACAAAAGGGAACGGCATGACAATTTTGATCAAACTTGGTGAGGTTATATAGTGCATCTTCAATGACTGACATACACCAAGCAATAAAGTACGCTGTTAAAAATTAAACAAGAAAATTAAAGTTGAAAATTGCACACTTAAAATCTTTAGAATTTCTATGTGCCCAGTGGCTGATGGCTTGGTGGGGGCATGTCAGTTCCAGAGTCATGAGGTTGGTGTTTTGAATCTTGTTGGTATTAATATAAGTTTTTTTTTTCTTGATAAAATTATAATTTTAAATTTACAGAGTGGCCAATGGCTGGTAGCACACCCCCATTGAGCCACTGGCCATCCTGCAAATAATAGGAACTCTAAAGGTTTTAAGTAAAGGTGTATGCAAAAAATATACACTCTGTAATCAATATCCGGTGTGAAAAATCCAAACATAGGTTGGCAAATGCTTTTGATGCCCTTACTGGGCTCTTCTTCAGGCCAAAAGTTTGCTGTAACTGGATTCTTATAATCAAATGCTTTTAAATCAGAACGTGCTCCACTTCTAGATGTTCAAATAGGGAAGACAATCTTGTGCCATTTCAAAAAAAAAAATAATTTTTACTAGTGGGGATACGATGTGTGCATCCTATAATAATCACGTGTATCATATAACAAATTACGATTTGTCATCTAATAAATATTGCCAAACTGTTGAGAGATTCATTTCTTCTTTAAAATTGATGCAGGTTAATTTGCAATCTGCTTTGAATATCTCTATTGCTTTCAAAGTTCTTAGGTGTTCTTGATGACGGGTGGTGTGGATAACTCGTGCCTTGCTAAAAATCAGGGTTATGTCCGGGTTTGTCACATATGTAGATAATGCCGTTGTACATTTGTTGTGGGTGATATCTGATTTATGTTCTTTTACCCTAGTGACTAATGGATGTTTGGTGGATCCTATGTAAATCAATTGCCTTTGCCATCTGTCATCTGTTAACGGAATGGTATATATTCCTGTAAGCCTGATCGGGTTATAGGCATCTTTTCCATTTCTCAATAAATTGTATAGGGAAGGGTTTCTTCTGTATGTAATTCTAATTCCTCTTTTCTTTGGAATCTCATTATTGTTTTTAGTTGTGGGTTGTATGTTACTGGGATTCTATCCATGTGTTCCTCTTTATCAACTCTTCCTGGTGCTTTTTCTTCATTTGTCCATATTGTTTATATGAAGGTGTTTATTGCATAATTTGTTTATTATGCTGCCATAACTGTGATATTTAGCGACCTTTTTTTTCATCTGCCATATAAACGTTAAAAAGCTAAAATGGCTGTTTAAATGTCAGAATATTAAACCTTGGGTGAAAAAATAAATATTTTTAATGGCTTGGGACAACATTGTTCCTTCCCAATGCTTGATAAACACCTTGGAATACGGCCCTACTTTTGCGCCGACACCATCATTACGGCTGGAGAGCCTTATACTGAATGTTGAAATACTCATAAAGGATATGAATGTAACTTCCCAAGAGTATTGCAGATGGAAAACAAGATTATATGCCGAAAAGGACCAAGGTACTAACAGGACCACTTTACTTTTCCAAAGGCACATTAAAGAAACGAAGGAATGGCTCCAAAAAAACAATATACAGTAGAGCATTGATTATTTGACTCAATTAGGGACTTGGGTTGGTCGGATAACCGAAAAGAATGAAAAAAATACATTATTACTATAGTATATTAGTATATCCCATGTAATTAGTATATCGCTATTAACCAACTTTGCATTGAATTTTCATCGATGTTAAGCCTAACAAATTTTTTTAAAAATAATAAATCGTTGCTATTGTATCGTTAAAAATTATTTTAAAATTATTTTATTGCTCCTAAAGCAAACAACCACTAATAATTAGAAAATTAAGTCTCGTTTAAATACTGGCCTCCCTTCAATGGTTGAGCCAGTGTTGCCAGCTAAAACACGCAAAAATTTAACAAAAATAATATTAAAGTAGCCAAGACATAGCCAAATATTGTAGTGCCACATCACTAGCGGACATTTGAAATTTG